TAGAATGGGCTCTTTTTCTCCTGGCAGCTTAATTAAGAAAGGTTAGAAAACCCTGTGTAGATGGTTCTTTGATCTCTGCTCTGCTGGCCTATGAAATGCATTTGGCCCACACCTCAGTCCAACTGAAGCTCTGACATCTGCTTTGAAACCGTTCCAACCCAGCACTGGCCTGCCATCAACTTAGTTGGGGTTGGTTTGTGTGAAGTTGAGGGAAACAGGGACAAGAGAGTGGGAATTCTGTAACACCTGATGCCGCTTTCTACCTTCTCTCTTCCTGGCTGTCTGTTTGGCAGTTTCTCACTTGGTTACCTCTATGCCTGTCTTCATGTAGTCCACTAGGCATGTTGTGAAATCTCTGACCTCTTCTGCAACATCCACACTCTGTCCATGTTTAAGCTCTTTTTCGAAGTCTGTGTTCTGTTAAATTGAATGCATGAAATGTATTTGATTTGTAAATAAAATCTTGTTGTGTTGTCTTTTTCCCCCCTACACTACTTGTCTGTTTAGTGTTAATACCTCAGAGAGGGAGCTATGCCATTTTTAATGTCTGCAAACAATCTAGCACATTGTAGTTGCTATCTAGAAAACAAGTAATTGTAGCAGCTCCTTCCTGCTCCACACCCTGGGCGACTGTTGTCATCTTAGTCAGGTGGGGCCCATGGCCCTCCCCCTCCCTGTGACCAGTCCCACCGGCTGGGGGGAGGTCCCCCATGGCCAATCCTGCCAACTGGGGAGGGGGGTCCCCCCGTGGCCAATCTCAATGCCTGGTGGGGGGGTGGTCCCCTCGCTGCTGATCCCATGACATCCGATCACTGAAGCTGCTTCCGGGAGTGGCTGTGGCCGCTTCTGGGAGTGGCTACAGTGATCGGCTGGCACTTGCAGGGGGAAACTGGCACTCCTGCCTGCCCCTGGGCCCCCTGCCCATTGCCTAAGCGGCAAGCACAGCTGGTCAGGGGGTGCACATGCACCCCCTACATGTCATCACTGCTCCACACTATGCATGTTTTCTTTGTCTTTGCTTCTTTTTTATTCCTTTTTCTGAGATAGCTAGATTCGGCTGCCGTGAAGGTGCATAGCTGAGTTCACATTGTCTTCATTTTGAAGCCAAGATCACACCAAACAAAAGCAGAGCTGCATTCTTTTCTCTTCCTGCCTAGCTCCTCTTTAGAACAGAGCTTTTCTCTCTCCCTTCTCTTTATGGACAGATTTTTGGTAAACATGTCATTTTGCAACAGGGCAAGCCAATGAAAGTCAAACTTCCTCTTTTCCAGCTTGTAAACATTTCCTGGAACAATATGCTCTGCTTTGAAATGCTTTCCAACGAGAATCTTAAGACTTCCCTCCCTCCTTCTCTCCCTACCTCCAGCATTTCATGACTCACTTGATCAGAGAAACATTCCCTTTTCTCCTATACAGGGCAGTTCCAGGCAGGCTCCTTAGGCCAACAGAGATTGTGTAGAAGGAAAGCTGCTCTCAGGTTAGCTATTCCTCCCAGGACATGCAGCTGGTTACTGGCTATTGAAATGTCTTGGGAGTCTTTGGGCTTTGGTCCCACATTGCAGTCTACTAGAGCAGGAAATTTTTCTTGGACACTGTGCCTTTGCCTTAATCAGGGGTTTAAAGTTCATGGGCACAGTACAGTAGACTGAATCTTTTTTATTACATGCTCCTTCTAAAACAAATAAGTTGGCCATTTGTTCCTTCTGCTCTGTCAGTAATGCATTACTTATTAAACTACTGCTTCATTATGTGTCTGAGGTGAAAATGAAGTCTAAATAGCATGCAGGAAGTAACTTAAAATGGATTTTAAATTATCTGCACTTCTTAAGGTAGCATTGGCTAAGAATACTTCAGAGCCTGTTGGTACGTGGTGCAGCTGCCTGATGAAGTGCAGGACTTGCACAATTGGCAGTAATTACACAGAAATGGAATGGTCTCAGCCTGTTGGAGCACACTGCACTTCCTGACCCAGGGACTGTACAGTATGCAAATTCCTGTACTGTGTCCACATTGCAGCTTCCCAGACTACTCAGCACTCCTACATAGACTCCACAATAGTACAGTGTGGCCATAGGAGTTTGCTCAGGGTGCCAGGAGAGCTCAATGCCTGTAGGAAGTGGCATTATATGGCCACCTGCACGCAGAAGCAGGACTGTGCTGGGAGGGACATGGGCTCTATTTCTTTTCAGGTGTATTGATAGTCACTGGTCTAGGCGAGATGTTCAAGGTGACTTATTCTGACATCCTGCACTATTAGCACAGTGTCTCCAGGTGCCTTTACTCAGGCAAAATACATCCTTCCCATCCATCCATTTTGGCCTGATGGATTTAGATGTGTAGAACTACAACAGAACTATTAAACCTGTCAGTATAATGATTGGAGGATGCTTCCTATTAATGTTGAGCTGTCTCTGTATTCTGAGAAACACCTCAGCTGTTGGCCTTGCAGTTCATTTAGTTCAGGATCTGTTGTTACTACTACTGTTAAATCAAAATAAATATTTTATAACATTATTAATTGATTCTTTAAGTAAGTAAGGAGAAAGGTGGTGCTGCTCGGGTGTTGTAGTCACACAAGTAGTATTACTATGTTAAGGATGTCCTGATGAGTGAGGCACTTCTCATCTCTTCTCTGCTAGTCTAACCTACGCTAATAGCTAATTAGCTAAACAGTTAAGAAGTATTGATCTTTTTAAATGGTGTGTTTTATATGGTACATGTAAACCATAAGGAAATAGAAAACATGAACTAAGATGGAACTTTTAATTTGCTTATAATAGTATTTAGTCTGTATGATAAAAATCTAGTCCTTTTAGTTACTTTCACTTTTGTTATTAGCATACATCATTTTTAAAGCTGCACCCTAATTTTAACTTCACTAACATAAGAAGCATGTATGGATAGAAACTTTCAGAAAGTGAAAACACACTTTGTTCTGTGTGACTGTCCCATTCGTATAGGCTTTGCCTTTTGCAAGTATTGCTGCAGTCTGTTTAAGGACTATAGAGTTTGAGAAAGTTTGAATATAAAAACAAATACAGTACTTAAAAATGGAAGAGGTTGTGGTTGCTGTAAATGGCTTTGCCTTCCAAAATGCTGGTAATAGTATTCTGGCCAGGCATCTTTACTTTCCTAGTTGGAGCCTTTTAGTTTTGTGATTACAGACTTTAAGAATTATAGTTTGTCTTCTGATTGAAAACTGCCTCTACTTTCATAGTATGATGCTTTGCTGGAAGGCATAACAGTAGATTCTATTTGGACATGTTTCTACCTCTCCCTCCTCATTCATAAAGCTTCTCTTCTCTCGTATATTAGATCATTATTGTCTCCAGTGTAATCTTCATATTGTATTCAGGGCTTGTGTTCTTCATGGACATAATTCAGGAACAAGATTCCTGGAATCTAAAGCACTTGGCACAAGAGATGAATGATTCTACACTTGTTTTGTTTAAATTCATACATGGAGAGATTTGTTGATCTAAAAATGAGAATGGCCAATAGCATGCTGGCTATTATTTTCAAATAACATCAGCATAATTCATGTCATCTCCATTTTTTTTCAGTTTTCCATGTGCTGAAAATGTCTGTAAACAACTAGAGGCATGGTGTAAGTGATTTGGGGGTGATGTTGGGGAAGTTTAGACTTTTGTATGTGTGGAGGAATGGAAAACCATAAGGAACTATGTCCCAGAGCTGTTAGCTAGAGGGCTCTGCTGAAGTCTCCTGGGGATGAAACAGTTAACAAGATTGGTATTTTTAAATTGTTAATTTTCAGACTAAACAGATTACTGAGGGTGAGCTTACATGTTATACTTAGACCAGGGGTTCCCAATCCCTGGGCCATGGCCTGGTACTAGGTCATGAAGGGCTGGCTGCCAGAACAGAAGTCCAGAAGTGACTGGCATACTGCAGACCAGCAGCCAACCCGCAATATGCCTGTCACTGCTGGTTCGCAGTCACTTCCGGTCCACGGTTTGCCTGTCTGCAATATAAAAAGGTTGGGAACCCCTGACTTAGACCATAATAAGGGCACTTCAGTGTGAGGACACTTGTGTGTTAATCTTGTAAACTCATGCTAAGTACCCTCTGAGCATCTCAAGGTTATGCCACCTTGGGCAAGAGTTGATTCTGGGCATGCTACCTGCCTAAAGTTAGGATAGCTTCAGTTTGCTCTACGGAGATAAAACGAGCAATTTTCAGTCCTCCAGCATCCCAGGATGTACTGCTCTCAGGCCCTGCTCCAGAACAGGGATAGAGCCAAGGTGTCCAGGTTCCCAGCCACAACCCATTCACCAGCTGGTTAATGGTAAGTCAGAGCTGTGCAGGCAATAAATGGTATTAACCCTTAACATGTATCTGCTCACAGCATGTTCTAACTTCAACACTGCTTAGCGTTCTGCTGATTTAGTGTGGTCTAAGTGCCATGTGTAACTTCATCACTAGTGTAGTTAGTGTTTTGCAGACAAGCTGAAGTGAGGCTCCGAGGATGCAGGGGAAGTGCTTTATTTATTTCATATCTAGTTCTGCTGGCTGGAAATTTTAGGACAAAATTCTCCCCTCTCTCCTGAAAATAGCAATTTGAAATTGAGGCAAACTCTGGAAGTCATTGGTTATCATGTTCCTGTTGGTTATGATGTTCTTTGTTCCTAAGCAGCCTGTCTAGTGAGAGGACAGTTGCAGGGAGCTTGGAGACCTTGGCTGCTTGACAGGAGGTGGGTCTGCATGGTCTCACCTCCAGGTAAGTGCACCAGGCAGGAGGCCAAGAAGCTGGGACTGCCAGGATCCCTAGCTCTGGTTTAGTCTAGGAGGTGGAAAACTTTGGAATTAGTTTTCAGGTGCTCTAATATTTAGTTCAAGCTTATAAAGATTTTGTTTGACATCTTAAGTATGAGAAATGGTGTTTGTGGTTTATTGAAAGCATTGATTTTGGAGAACTCTTTTGAGGCAATGACTGGATTGCTTGGCAAATTCTGTCCCACTGGAATACCTGAACCTGTTTTGTATGATTTTGATACTGTTTATATTAGGTTTGCAGCAGCCCAGTTGGTGCCAATGGCCATCCTTTTTTTCTGTCTTTGCTTTCAAGTGTTTTGGAAAAAAGGAGCAACTTTTTTGTTCAACATTGTTTAGTGCCGTAGCTTGATTCCCAGATGTGTGTCTTCAGTGGTAACACATATGGCATTGACCACCATTTTTACCTGGGAAAGTAGCTAACTATTCCACACCCATACCCTCCCCCCCGCAAATGTAATAGTCTGTGTGCCTCTAGTTGGCAGACAATTTTATCAGGCTAGTTGATGGGGGAAACAGATGTTTTGGTAGAATTTTAAATGGAGTAGTGATTGTTTCAGGCTTTTTGATTTCTGCTCCCACCCTCCCATTTCTTTCCTCATGTGGAATACTGTTTGGAAATCTGTGGTACCAATGGCTAGGAAAGGAGTAACCAAATTCTGATTTTAGAGTATAAGAACATAAGAAATGCCATACTACATCAGACCACAGGGCCACCCAACCTACTATTCTGTATCACAGTGGCACAGAGCAGAGGCTAACAGGAAAAGTGTTTCTGTAGGGCCTTGTAGCAGGGCACTAAGGTGCCTGCTACTGGAGGTAGTGTTAT